TAGAAAATATTTGAAATAATGTATCTAGTACAGGTTTAGTATCCGGTATATATTAAGAACTCTTACAATACAACAAAGAGACAACCCAGTTAAAAAATAAGCAAAGGATTTACATAGACATGTCTCCAAAGAGGATATACAGTGGACAAAAAGCATGAATGATGCTCAACATCATTAGTCATTGAGGAAATGGAAATAAAAATCACAAAGAGGTACCACTTCACATCTACTAAGATGGCTATGATTTTTTAAAATTAAAAATAAGTGCTGGTGAGGACATAGAGAAATTGGAACTCTCTTGCATTGCTGGTGGGAATATTAAATGAATGGCTCAGCTTTGGAATTTTGACAATTCCTCAAGAAATTAAACATAGAATTACCACATGACCCACCAATTCCACTCCTAGGTATATATCCAAAAGAACTGAAAATAGTACTCAAATACATATACACACATATCCATAGCAGTACTATTCACAATAACCAAAAGATGAAAACAACCCAAGTATCCATCAACAGAGGTATGGATGAACTGATATATGAACCTTATATACTGTGGTACATGTGGAGATGAACCTCAAAAGACATATGGTATGTGAAAGCAGACACAAAAGGTCTCATTCTGGAACTAGAGGTAGTGGTTGCAGAACATTGTAAATGTACTAAATGATACTGAATTGTTTACTTTAAATGGCCATTTTATGTGAGTTCACCTCAGTATCTTAAAAAAGGGAGATGGCTCCCTAGACGAAAAGGTGATCAGTAGAGGTCACTGACTTGCTGTAAAAGTATTGGAAAGCCTTTATTTTCCTCATTAGGATATGAAATGGTGGGGCGCCTGGGTGGCTCGGTCGGTTGGGTGTCTGACTTCGGCTCAGGTCATGATCTTCGCTGGTCCCAGTGAGTTCAGAGTTCCTCCGCCAGCTGGGCTCTGTGCTGACAGCCAGAGCCTGAGCCTGTTTCAGATCTCTGTGTCTCCTCTCTCTCTGCCCCTCCTGTTCATGCTCTGTCTCTCTGCCTCAAAAATAAATAAAAAAAAAAAAAAAAAGATTAAAAAAAAAAAAAAGGATATGAAATGGTGTACAATAAGAAGACCAAATTCCATTCTTTAGTAGCCTTTGTGGGAAATACCCATCCACCAGTTTTGTGTCTTCTGTTTGTCTGCTTGCCTTTGAACAGTTCTTTTCATTCAATACTCACTACTCAAGATGGACAGAAGAGTGGATAGTCATAAATTATAATCTTGTTACCATCTCCGACATAAGGAATTATTGAGATGTGATGTAAAACAAACAAACAAAAAATACCAGTAAAATGGGATTATGAGGTTGACAGAGATCAGTTTCATTTATCCATGCAATTTCATTGGAATATAGAAAAGATAATAAAAGTGCTACTACTGGACTGCAGACATTTGTCTCTGAACTCCTGCGATAATCTTACCCACTCTTATGGAAGTTTGAAATGGTTGGTACTCAGATTTTGCTGTATACCTTTATCTATGTTTATTAGATTCCTAGGGCTGCCATAACAAATTTAGTGGTTTTAAACAACATAAATGTCTTCTCAGGTTGAGGCTAGAAATCTGAGATCAGGGGGTCAGCAGGGCTGTGTTCTCTCTGAAGGCTCTGGAGGAGAATCCTTCCGTGCTTCCTCCAGCTCGTGGCGGCCCCAGGCCATCACTGATCCGAGGTAGCATCACTCCAGTCTCTGCTCCATCTTTACATGCCTCGTCTACCTTGTGCATCTGGGTGTCTCTTCTTATAAGGCTGCCTTAAATCCAGAATGATCTCACCTCAAGGTCCTTAACTTCCAACATCTGCAACCTCTTTTTCCAAATAAGGTCACATTCTGACATTCTAGCCAAACATGAATTTTGGGGGGACACGATTCCTCCCACTACACTATGTAAGCTACATAATTTCTTTTTTTTGACACAGTAAGGTTTTTAGAGAACTCTAATTCAAACTTAGTTTGGTAAAATTAGAAAAATTCTTCTGGGGAAAATGCAAAAAAAAAAAAAAAAAAAAAAACACCCAACTTTAATCTCCAAAAGAAACTAAATTGTACTAACAACAAAAAAATTAAATCCCTAGAAATGAATCCTCCCTTCATTTACTGACTAAAACTGATGTAAGTAAATAAGAAAAATGTCTTTTCACAGAAACAAAGCATGATAGGTTGGTGCTCTATTATTTATAATTTATTACTTACAAAAATAACTTGAGCTTTCTCATAACAGTTCAATAAATCCTCTCCTTGAAGTCAAGAGACCAGACACTTATGATTTTTACAATGAAAACTTTTTAAAAGATCTAAGCCATAATATTTTTAATATTCAAAATAAATTTTTAAAAATTTTGGAAGGTGAAACTTTATAATCATCTTCAAAATGTAGTGAAATTTGTTATGTGGTCAACTTATCAACTACTTGAAATAGAATCAGATGACAATGTATCTGCAAATAATTTAAAATCCTAATTGATAAATATTGTAATTATTTAATATTCAGGTAATTTTGTAAATTACCAAATTACAAGACAATGTTGGTAGACCGTACATTTTCCAAACTATTTTATATATCCCACCACTCCATATATTTTAACACCCAAGGGAAATTCTACATTGATGAAAAGTGATTTTATTATAAATTTTCAGAAATTTTTTCTAATGTACCAAGATTTCATATGAAAATGCAGAAGTTGTTTTTATTTTGTTATAAAACAGCAAGTATGAACCCAATGTAGAAATCTGGTATTAGACAATTCCTTTGGCAGAAAACATTCAATTATAAAGAGATCTTAAAATAAATATAACTCATAAGATCATGGAAAAGAAAGAAAAATAACCCTGTTATTTCCTATTAACACCAAAAATATCATCTTAGTACACAGATTTAGTAACATTTTTATACTATCAACAACCTGCAACACAAAATTCATTAGAGTATGGCCAAAATAAAGTTGTTTTTAATTTAAGAGGGAGAAGAAACTTCTGGATGTATAAAATTTCACAGATAAATGCCAATATACAGTATTTATATACATGTCACCTGTTATGTTATTCCAAAACTACATTTGGTGAACTTAATTGGCTGATCCCAATTTAGTGGGTGTGCCATATTTCCCCTAGTTCAAAGACTTAGGCAGAATTAAGCTTTTACAATTCAGAACACAATTATACATGAAATATTTACAGAAACATTAAAATAACTTTATTAAATACTGTTTGGGAGGAAAAAACGTTAAGATTTTCGATATATATGCAAACATGAACTATTATCAAGAGCAGCTTCGTAAATGCTTTTTATGTTTTTTCTTTAAAGAATAGAAGTTTCGTTTCCAAAAAAATAAGGTGCCATTTTAGAAGTTTTTTTATAAGTGTATAAACGAATTCACACGGAAGAAAAATACTGGATGAAAAAAAGAACGTGACATACTCAAGGTTAAAACTTTTTCAGCTACTTCTATCTGAAATGAGACAATGACAGAAATTAGGCTTTCAAATACTGCTTGTTTTTTCCTTTAAATGTAGACCAAGTAGTATGTAGACTTTTATTTTCGGACAGTTTCTTTGAAAAAAGAACATACTTATCATTAAATTTCTGTAAATAGATAAATGATAAAAATTTCCAGCACACTGTCTTCAAATGGATCCTTGGCAGAAAGATTAAGGGCTTTCTGTAAAAAAACAATTTAGAAATCTTGCTTCCAGGCAAGTAACCACTTCTGTCCTTTGTTTTCCCAGTTTAAGTACCAAGTACCTGTAAGCATATGTATTCACCATCTTCTATTCCATTGTCTAAAAAGTGATAGATGATGCAGTAGTGTATGAATTTTTAGGAGAAAACATTCCCTACTGGTTTACTACCTAACTCCTACAGTATGTGGAATCTATTAGCACTATAAACTAATTTATAAAATGTAGGCTTCAGAAAAACTGTCTTGATAGCTTCCCTATCAATCTATTGCCTGCTATTATCCCACAGGCTCAGAATTATCTCTGAAAGGAATGGCCAAATTTTTCAACAGCCTGGCATAGCAATGGTACTTGAATTGCCTCTTTAAAGAAACAACACAGCAATAAGAACACTTATTATTCATGCTTGGGATATATCACATCAAATTACTAGGAATGTCTCATGGCTCAAATTCACATGTAATCCGTAAAAAGAAAATGCAGCATCTCTGCACACACCACACTTATTAGAGGATGGCCAACGTCACTTTAAAAGGTCATTAGTGGCAATTCTAAGTACAAGGGAGCCTTGTTAGAAAAGAAATGTTTATCTGCAGGGAGTGGGGCATTCCTTAGCTCACTGCTGGCAGGACTGGGGACTAGCTAAATGCTTTATCATATATCTGCATTTATATGGTCTTCACTGTTAACTACAGAAAACATCTTTGTTCCTTCCAAACTGCTCTTGCTTCTGTCGACAATTATATGCTAATTATTACTCAACATAACCGGAGAGCAAAACTGACAGGACTGCAAACACAACCGCAATTTAAGGAGCCAAGGGAAATATGTTGGCAAGCTAAATGCTCACCCAAAAGGAAGTTCGCCTTTTAAAATAATGGTTTGTGGGGAATACTGAAAAAACATGCAGACAAAAAAAATATTCAAAGGTTTGAGTGCGCTCCCAATTATCATGACATTTTAAGGATTAATGGTTTCTTTAAAGTAAAATTTTATCTCCTGCTGTTTAGTGTCATAAGGCTACTGATTGGGTGTCCAGATTTGTGTAGAGAGATCTGAAAGGAAGACAGGATTAACTGGAAGCTACCTGAATGAAGCTGCCTCTCATCAAAAGTTGATTTCAAACAAATTGGGCTGAAAAAATCCTTTCATGGCCTAGCAGAGTAAGGTAAGTTTTTGTGCTTTACTTATTCATGGTTCTTTTGAGTTGAGAAAAACTATTTTTTAAATATTTTCAGATTTGAATCACTGGGGTCAGGTAATACACATATGAAGGCTTTGGAGAAAATGCTTGCTTTGTTCTAAAGAAGCGGCTGCTGATGGTAATTTGTTTGCTGCTGTGCAACTGAATGAGCGGGAGCCGCCACCGGAAAGCCTGCCAGTTGCGGCAAATTGGAAGTAGCGTTCCGGTACGATGACATATCCACAGGCATCCCCATCTGCTGTGTGTAAGCAGCTGTACCAGCAGCTGATTGAAGGTTAGAGTTCTGGTTCATGTAAGTAGGGTTGGAAACAGTGTCTTGTCCAGTGCTACAAACAAAATTTTGAAAAGAAAACCAGATTTACTTTGCATTATCAAGGTCATGGTCAAGATCAATCATGAGACAATAAAAATTCCTTTTTCCATCTTTGTAAGTTTATGTAACTCTGCTGTTCCGATTATGACTTCATTATTCCAACTAGCCAACACTGTGAATGTAATTTTTAAATTTGGTAAGGAGAAAGTACTCAAAAATGAAACAAAATATAAGATTATATGGCCTATTTAATTTTGTTTTCTCCAAAATCTATCACTGCAAACATATAAAAAATCTTTTGAGGAGATGCAGACTGTGTTTCTCACAGTGGTATCCTTGGTCAGCTATAACGAGAACCGAACTCCGCTCAAGTATACCTTCAGCCATATTCTCCCTTAGTCTGTCTCTCAATCCAGCATGGAGGAGACCACCTCTTTTCCTCACAGACTCTTTACACTTTCCTTTGATAGGACACTTTCAGAGCTGCCCTGCTAACTTAATCTGAACCTCTACATAAAAATAATAAGGGTAAGGCAAACAGTGTAATCCACACAGGACCCTGAATCTACCCTCAAGGTAGTCTTGACCTATAGTTTACTTATTAACACGACACCAAAACAAACAAAAGAACAAGTTGAGAAATCACACCAAACTGCAGGACTCTGCTTGTTCTTGTAATTACCATGGCATACATTTTTTTTTAAAAAAAGCTTTGTAGGGGCGCCTGGGTGGCGCAGTCGGTTAAGCGTCCGACTTCAGCCAGGTCACGATCTCACGGTCCGTGGGTTCGAGCCCCGCGTCAGGCTCTGGGCTGATGGCTCAGAGCCTGGAGCCTGTTTCCGATTCTGTGTCTCCCTCTCTCTCTGCCCCTCCCCCGTTCATACTCTGTCTCTCTCTGTCCCAAAAATAAATAAAAGTTGAAAAAAAAAATTAAAAAAAAAAAAAAAAAAAGCTTTGTAATATGTAATTTCAAATTACTCAAATACACTGCTTACAGTATAGGAAGATTAATGTCTATACTGCTCCAGTTTTTTTCTCCATAATTTCTAGTCTCACACAGAATAACAAAATTTTACATTTTAATTGAACTAAATACCAATGTGAACAGGTTTACTTAATTTTCAGTTAATATCTAAAGTTTATACTTATGGAATTTGGGTGGGAAGAGACCTTAGAGATCATCTACCCATGACTGTATTGAATGAACATTTTGTATTGCTAAGCAAAGTTAATAGAAGGCAATAATTTAAATATGATTTTCAAAACAGAAGTGTTAGTATAAAAAAATCAGACCACAAATTCCACAGCTTACACACACTTGGGAGTCAAAGTTTTCTGATATTCAGGAATGCATGCAAATCAATATGCCTGGGACTACTTTACGAGGCTGATTACAGCATAGTGCTGAGTGTATCATGGGCTTGGTCCCTGTAAAGGACAGTTATCTTTATTTTGTCCCAGGGAACCAGACTTTAGGCCATGTTTGGAGTACCATTTTAGTAGAGGTATCAAAGCTAAGAGCAGCACCATTCTGACTTCATGGGTTTATGAATGGGAAGTTCTGTAACTTCATCTCAATTATTATTATTATAAAGAGGTCAATTTATTCTCATTATGAAAGTGTGTGAAACCTTAATGTATGTAATTACAAAATAACACAGCTCCCCAAAACTTACCTTAAATATGGAGTCTGTGCAGGCTGTGTTGTCACTGAGGAATTTACATTTGGAGGCAGAGATCTCAGTGGACCAATCTGATCTGGTCCTAGGCTGTAGCTTTGGGCCACAGTGACTTGGTGAAGGCTTTGACCCATATAGTTTCCACCATGCGATTGAACTGGGTATGTCTATTAACCAAAGAGAAAAAGTTGACTCACTGATTTCCCAAACATCTGCCTAACATATTTAAAACTTTAAAAAACTTAAATGAAATAAAATGTTACCGTTCTTCAGGGAGCAATCTGGTTCTACCAATCTATCTACCCTAGTACAAAAAGTAGACAGCTTCGAAATTACAGTGCCAAATCTGTGGAAATTTGTGATTTATTTGGTTGTTCTTTTATTCTGCGGGAGGTTGAAAGGAAAGGAGGTGGCATATTTTTCAGCAGCAGGCTGGAGTCCATCCGGGTTGCCTATTGCTCAGTGACCTGCCTTGCTGCAGAGCCACAGGAAACTATACACTCCTCGAAGGGCAGCCCATCATCACTTCAAGTCACCATCCAAATGGTGAACTTCACCCTCATCCCAGGATGACTTATTCAACTCCTTCCTAAGAATGAAACTTGAGAGGATAAGAATAAATGGTATCAGGGCAGGGCGCAGATGCTCTCTATAACATCTCCTTTATTTTCTGCCTTTACAACAAATAGGACAAAAGCAAAGATGATTTTTTAGGTAAAGGAGAAGATGTATCCTCCCTCAGGAAATAGCAAAATGGTCTAAGTCTCTTTGGATATTTCATGTGCCCTACCTAACTTTCAGGGTAGTATCTCCTTTAAGGACCTGCCTACCAAATATAGCATTCAAAACAATGCACATACTTAATAAATAAATATTAGACAGTGATTATCATCACTCCAATTTTAAACAAAGCTATTTGTTTTTTGTTTTCTTTTTTATCTACATATAAGTTTTTAGTTCACTTACACAGTTATGGGGATTTCTGGAGGCAGTTTGAACTGCACGTAATAAACAAAGCTATTTGTAAAGCCCACTGACATGAAAACAGCATGCTAGAAGTGCCAATCAACTTTAATGTAGTTGCAATCATACCGCTTCCTTTGTCAACATGTAACAATCCACTGACAATAAGCTGGGAACTGACCTCTGCTGCAGTGTAGGGTTCCTGAGTAGCCTTTACAGATTCAACTAATGGTGTGTTACTCCAACTTTTTTACTATGGAATTTTCTTCTAATTAGAATAGGAACTGTGAATAGTTTAAATGCTATTATACATAAATAGTATATAAAGAAGTTATGTGAAAAATCAGAGAGACAGAAAGCTTAACTTTTTAAAACCCTGAGTTGTGCTTATTAGCAAAACACAGACTGTAAGTAGTATGCAACTAAACACAGAAACCTGATACAAGAATGACAAATAACCCTTTATAGACACACAAAGAAGCAAATAAAACACAGTTCCATCATACAATGGTGGAGACACTTCTTTTTTGTTCCACTTTCACAGGAGCAGCAAATTAACTCGTTGAAAACAGAAGCACTACTGAATAAACTCCAGCTGTCTTTTGCACCCAGAAATCCTTTCTACCCTCACATATAATGATCCTTTCACCATTTTCCAAAGTTTGGGACATGGCATATTTGATAAATGCATCTTGTCTGATGTGACAGTTACCATAGTAACCATTCTTTTTTACTTAATTATGTCATGTCAAGTCATCTAGATTATGCACCCACATTCTATCTTTTCTCCTTGGTGTCTCCTTCACACACTCCTTTACATATCAGTTCCCATAAATTAACATGAATTTTGTTCATCCAAATTCATTCTGAATTCAACTGCTAACTGAGTAAAATTTGAAAAAGGCTTCACAATGCTTGATAATGATTATAAATGTAAGTATTCACTTCAGCAGGAAGCACAGACAAGGTGTAAATCCTGGAAAAAGAAGCTGTTCATGAATGGCTTACGGACCCTGCACCTATAGGCCTGCATCATATCCTTGCCACACATGAATTTTTGACAATATAAGTCATTCATCAAAGGAAAAACAGAGAACATGATCTCAGGATAAAAGAAGTTCATTAACTAATAAGCCTTCCACTAATCATGTAAGTCAAATAAACCTTGAGAGAATTTTTTTTTTTTTAACGTTTATTTATTTTTGAGACAGAGAGAGACAGAGCATGAACGGGGGAGGGTCAGAGAGAGAGGGAGACACAGAATCCAAAACAGGCTCCAGGCTCTGAGCAGTCAGCACAGAGCCTGGCACGGGGCTCGAACTGACGGACCGTGAGATCATGACCTGAGCCGAAGTCGGCCGCTTAACCGACTGAGTCACCCAGGCGCCCCAATCTTGAGAGAAATTTTAAAAGAAATGGTAAATCTTGCTTGTTGAGCAACAGGAACTGCATCAGTATCTCATAGAGAGGACTTGTGATGGGTCAAGCACTGTCTTAAATCAAAGGACTTAAACTTTTAAATAAAGGATTTGTGCTTTATATTTACAAAAGCAAATGAAGAACCAGAACTCCCATCATATATTTAACGATCTCGTTGTTCACATTAAAAATGAACTAAAATTATTTGTAAAATATCAATATCTAATTTCTCCTGGCAAACGCTAATTGTTTAGCCCATATTTTTTTTTTTTTTACTATAAAAGATGAGTTTTATGATTTTATTCATGGACCACAGACATTTTGATATTATGCTTTAAGACATTTTTTTGAACTTAAAACTGTTTTCCTCATTTTGAAAAATGTGCTCAAAAATACTCTCACCTGCATTGGAACCCCAGCTGATGAAGGTGGGTAATGTGCTGGAGGATGGAGCTTCGAATAGACTGGATATACTGGTGCTTCATTCACCAACCTGTTATATAGTTCCAGGGCTTCCAAGACTTTTACATTCAATTCAGACAATTCTGAATGCTTCCTGATATAGAAAAAGCACTTTAATTTTCTTCAATGCTTTTCAGCATGTATTTAGGAACATAAACTACTTTTTAAATTTAGCACATTTTCTATTCATATTTTAAAAGGTTCTTTACATACAATGAAATATTCATCATGAAAAATGGGAGGAGGAATTACTGAATTCTCATAATAACTAGGCTAATATGACATCATAATATTAGGGAAAGTCCCTTCCACACTTCATAAAAATGCAATCAATTCATAATTTTGGTGCCAGGACAATTCTGTTTCACATGTTATAGGTTTCTCTTGAAATCTCAAGTACAAAGAATAATAATTTCTCAATTTTGGAAAAGCCCAAGCTTTAATTAAAAATCTAAGTAAAAGAAAGTACTCAGGCAAGGTCCAGAGCCTGCTCTGAAGCACGATATGACTGAAATCAAAACACACTCACAAACAAAATTACACATTTTCATTTGCTTATATTCACTAATGGATCCAATGAAAAAATCCTAATAATTATCTTTGAAAATGCAAATGAAAACAATGTATATATATAAACTAGTCTCTACTACTCTTGTTTGTTGGTTTCTTTTGAGAAGGGGAGTGAAACCAGATACCTTATTGTGTAAATAACAAATCCAAGTAAGAGCATTCTCAAATTTGCCCAAGGAACTCTAGTTCAAATCCTTCTGACTTGGTACAACTTTGTCTGTTACCCTGGAGAGTAATAAAGAACTCCCATTGCAACTGACAAGTTCATATGAATTAAATGGCCACGTCATGTGGCACCCACAAGCCTATTTATTAAATATAGCTCTTTTTATATATATACAAGGAGGCTAAAAAGACAAGAAGCAGAGGCAGATGACCAGACACAGGGCTACCAAATAAATGACCTGGATTGAGTCATGTTAAGACTTATCATCTTTCCTCTCTTATAATCTGTTATGTCTGAAATAAACAAAAAGATGCAGTTTCCTGTCTTCCATGTGTAACTATATACAGCAAGTCAAACTGTTTTCAGAGATATCATTTGTAAACCATACAGAAAGGATGAGAAATTAGTGTCCATGCTAACAAATATGTGACTAAGAATTAACCATGGGTATTTGGTCCACATAACCCAGTATACTGATGAAACACCAAGGAGAACACAGAAATCACCTTTAAAGATTCAAGACATAACCCCAAAGCAATTAAATTTTTACTGAACTGTGTCCAAACACTATACTATCACAAAGAAAATGGAGCAGAAGGTGTGGATCTGTCCTTCAAAGAGACTGCAATCTATTAGACAAGGCTAAGCACATGGAAAATAGCAAACAATATAAGATGGCATATGACTGCAAAATTATATAAAATTATAGGAAACAGAAGAGTTTAGAGGAGGAGGAGGAGACTAACTTGGGTTGTGGTAAACTGAAAAGGCTTTATGAGAAGCTGGGACTTAAATAGGCACCGAGGAAGGATGGATAGGCCCAAGTAAAAAGGAAGACTAAGATCAGTGGGACAGTGCAAATCAAGTCAGGCAAAAGGAGTGAGGTTACACAATGGAAGAATGAAAAGGGCAATTTGATCACGGTGGTAGACAATGATTTTTGGAGGGCAGTAGGAAATAAGGTTAAAATAGTCTGGGATATTGTTAAGTTCAGACTATGGATCTCTTCAATAAATCTATCTAAACTTTTTTGGAGTCAATTTACATGTCTGCCTGACATAATTTCTTAGTGTGATAAAGTCTATAAAATCTCATTCCAAACAATTACAGATAGAAAAGAAATGTAAAATTTCTTTTTCTGGCAGTAAAGTTGTTTTTATTAGGGAAAACAAATTGATGGTGATCCAGTCAAGGGAAAAAACAGTATTTTATTCATCTTTGAATGCCTGACAAAGATAAAGAGTCAAAATTTGTTGAAGAACGGCAAACGTTTTCCAGAACAAGAACTGCATCTGTAGTCAGTGACCATGGGAAAGGAAAATGCCAGCTGGACTACTCAGAAACTGAAACTGAAGAGAGAACTGGTTAACAGGTGAGCTATGACTCAAAAAATTAACTATCAGAAATGGTCGCTCTGATTTTTAACTGTGCTAGACCTTTTCCTTTGAAAATATTCCTTTTATCGATAAAAAAAAAAAGATTATGTATACTGTCATATCCTCTGCTTTTTCATTACATAGTATATCTTTCTATAATCAATAGATATTTATCAATGATAATGCTTTTTATTGTAGAATGTATGGATGTAATTATTTTTAAATCAATCTCACACTTAAAGACATTTTAGTTACTGCCAACTTGGTTGCTACAAACCTAATTTCAATAATACTGTGAAGAATAAGAGTTAAATCTTTGCATATGTCCCTGTATACTTAGTATGGGCCTGAATTTACTGGGTTAAAGATTATGGACTATTTTTAAGGTCCAGAAAGGTTTATGATCATTGTACTCCTAGCCACACCTAAGGTAATACTGGCATTTTTCTTCTTTCTTTCTTCTTTTGTAAGTTTATTTATTTTTGAGAGACAGCACATGCAAGTGGGAGAGGGGCAGGGAAAGAGAATTCCAAGCACACTCAGCTCCGCCAGCACGGAGCCCCATGTGACTCAAATCCATGAACCATGAGATCATAATCAGAGCCAAAATCAAGATGCAGACACTTAACCCTGAGCCACCTGGGCACCCCTGACATTTTTCTTTTTAATCCTCTCCAGTTTTATTATTCACTGACCATTAACACCCTTGCACTGAAATAAAAATAGGAGATGTGTTAAGTAGACATTTAATGCTTTTTCCAAAATAAAAATATGATGAAACTACCACCATCATTTCATTAATTTTTGATGGGTATTTATTTTTCATTTCTGTAGAAGATATAAGGAATTTATAAAAAATGTCTCATGGAGACAGATTATAATCTTCAGTGACTAGAAAAAATCTTGCTGCTACTACCCTTCTCTGGTAAACGCAGATAAGAAGTAGTTCCTGTTCTTTTTGTGCAGTTTTATACTGTAGTTCAATAAACAGATTCCAGAAAGGGATGACAATGGAACACTAAAGCCTTGTCCTTGTCTTCCATTCACCATAGGTTCTCCCTGAGACTTCAAATAGAAAGCTCCGAGGAACCAAAGGAGGCAAAAATCAATGAAAAGTTCCAAATGCTGATAGTGTGTCCTTCAGTGCTGTTGCTGTTTCTAAGGAAGAGTAAGACTACATGGAATAAGGAGATTAAAAGGATAACAGAAATACAAGGGAGAAAAATGAGGAGAGGTATGTGGACTGGAGTTAGCTTCACAAACCCAAGGGAAATTTCATTTGAAAGATTTACAAATACTACTTCTCATCACGGAGTAAGACAATGCTTGCCCAAGATCCCAGTTCTCAATCTGTGCTCTATTCAGTTTTTATTCCTCATTCCTCATTATCTCTCAATTCCAGTCCAAGTAAGAAAATGAAAGTTGGCACCATAAGAGCAAGAACCCACAATTCTACGTTTACTATATGGCCATGGAAGAAAACTGCTACCAAAATAAAAAGTACCACCTTACTATTCACTTGTAAGAGTTTTGGAAACTGAGAAACAATTTCAACAGATTGAACAGTTCCACAAAACTCAGTCTAAAATTTTGCCAAAAAACAAGAAAATTATACTTGTTATTCCCTTAACAAAGAATCTCACCGATCAATCTCTTCAAGTTTTTCATCTATCATTGGACCCATCTGTTGGCAGATATCTGTAAATACAAAAATACTTTTGAATCTTGAAACTTAAACCAGTTTAAGTCAATTTCAAAAGCTTTTGACAATGGACCACACCAATATACAACACCATGCATAATACAAAGAAAATGAAATTTATGCTAGAGAAACGACTATGAAAGACCTAATTTTAATACTGTTCATCACCAATATTAATATCATACAACTAAAGGCAAAGTCATAATCAAAAGAGAAATCCCACCATGTCCCACCAAGTAAGTGCTAACATTACAGACTATTAAGTCTGGAGTTATCTTAAAATCTGGAAAACTATTATTAGCTACGTATATTAACTTGAGTCACAATGTATAAAATATATAATTATGTACAGATTAGATATGAACTTTTTCATGTATTTAAGCCATTTCAAAATCAAACATTTTGTGCATTTCCAAATGTAAACACTGATACAATGAATAGAGTAGTATCCTGTATTTATAATTAGACTTTATTCTACAAAAAGATTTAAGAAGATTTATCCATTTATCAGAGATTTTTCTGATTAAAGGATTAAAAAAAGGCATAAAAACATTTGTTTTAATTGTTTCAAATTTCTGGGGATTAAAAGGACACAGCATGCATCAAATGACTACATTACAAAATTAACACAGACCATATATAATTTTGCCCTTTAAAATCATGATACAAGAGAATTAAAAGAGAAATAAGAATTGCTAAAATTTTAATTTAATTAATTTAATATGTTCTTATTCTTAATTCTGTCCTTTTTCGGATTGCAAATCTCTTCATCCAGTATCCCTGGTGGGTTTACAGAAAAACAAAGACTTCCTTCTTGAACAGGATAGGCAGGTTTGTAACAACATCTTCCAAATCATATATTTACTATTTTACTATACTGGTCTGTTTTCCACCAGAGAGAGAGTTCTAATTTATAGAAGCAAACACAAAGCAGAAGATATTTAAGACATTATAAACAACTAAAATATTAAATGACAATGAAGTAATCCCTAACACTCATTAAGTACCTTCTAAATCCAAGAGGTCTTGGGAGTCTGGTTTTGAATCTGTTGGATCTATACTCTGGAGTACCTGCAGGGCTCTATCCATCTTATCCTAAAAAAGTAAATGGGCACTTTAAAAACGCAAAAGCTTTCATTTCAATGAACATAAAAATTACTCTTTCCAAGTATTCTCAAGGATAATAGATTTTAAAGTATTGATAGTTTAACTATTAAACAAAAGAAGAACTCTACCTCATCTATATAAACAGGCTCAGGCTCTGATTTCTTAATTTCCTCCTCCTCCTCATCAATTACATTCAATTTGTCCACAGCTGCTATGGAAACAAAGTAAACTTTAAGTTCCTCAGCATTTACTTTGGTATTTTAGTTACTAATATATAAGTAGCCTGTGATTATCCGTAAGAAAAAAAAAAAAGGAACTCTTCAGTCATCACATTTCATAGGTAACATACATTATTTCATGTGTTCATCCACTCATGCCACAGACATTTATTAGCCCTTACTACTATGTGTCAGGTACTGTTCTAGGCATTGGATATACAGAGTGAATAAAACAGACCAGAATCTCTGCCCCAATGGAACTTACCTTCTAGTGGAACAAGTGAGCAATATTAACGGGAACTGTCATTATAGGCATTTTCTGAAAAACTGAGTGTTTTTAACACTAGGGTTAGAGTCAAATATATGAGCTCCTTCAGTACACTTTCCTTGCTATAAAAATGTATTTCCCATATGAACAAAAAAACACTCGATTTCATCTTCACAATAAGAAAAAAATATCCAATTTAAACCTAATTTTGATAATAGGTTAAAAAAATTTTTTTTAATGTTTATTTATTTTTGAGAGAGACAGAGTGTGAGGGGGGTGGGGCAGGGCAGAGGGATGGAGACACAGAATCGAAAGCAGGCTCCAGGCTCTGAGCTGTCAGCACAGAGCCCGACACCAGGCTCCAACTTGTGAACTGCAAGATCATGACCTGAGCCGAAGTCAGATGCCCAACTGACTGAGCCACCCAGGCGCCCCACTTTGATAATAGTTTTAAAGCAATAGGAAAAAAAAAAAAAAAACGCCTTTCATAAAGAGAAGGTTAAAAGATAATTCATAAACGTACATATCCAGAAAACTATTTAAATGTTCACTAGAGTGCTGCTATAATGTACTGTATTTTAATAAATTTTGATAATAAAATTACAATAAAAACCTACCTTGCCCCTAATCCAAAAATCTCTGTGCTCTGTAGGCCACATTGAAGACACTGTGTTCTCTCTGAAGAGTATATAAGGTTTCCAAGAAAATGTATAAATACCACCCCCCCCCCCCCAGAAAAAAGAAAAATCTCTATAACCAAAGGATTTTTGAGTCCTGACAGCTGCTTACTTCAAATATGTGGCTAACTTTCAAACAGGTCCTAAGGAGCAGAGCTCAATATAATAACATGAGGATGTACTGAAAAGCCAGAGTATTTTTTACTTTTAAAACCACAGCTCAATCTCTCCAGCCTATGCCAACGGGAAATTTCTATGTAGGATCCCCTGAGCATGGTCTCACCAAGTTATTAAAAACAGTGCCTCCAATTTTCATAACTACTTAGTTTACAAGAATAAAAAGTACAAATACAGGCAAAGTGCTCAGTCTTTAAATGAGTCTTTACATGTTTCAACTTTAACTGAATGCCATCACTCCATACAAAGATGGTATTACACACAATGCACAGAGCTTTCACAATTTAAGTTTTTTCCCTAAAACCGATAATACAGACTAGCACTGACATGTCCCACAAGTCAGTTTAAGTACATCTAAGAGCAGACCAGCAGACTTTAGAATCATGGCTCTAGCACCTACTAACCTCATAAACCCTCAGCCTCAGTTTCTTTATCTATAAAATGGGGTAACAAAAGTACCTATCTCACAGACTTGTGAGGATTAAATGAAATAGTGCAAGCCAAGGACTTTGCACAATACCTAATAAATGAGTACTCAAGAGGAGCCTGGGTGGCTCAGTTGGTTGAGAGTCCAACTTCAGCTCAGGTCATAATCTCATGGTTTGTGAGTTTGAGCCCTGCGTCAGGCTCTGTACTCACAGCTCAGAGCCTGGAGCCTGCTCTGGATTGTGTGTGTGTGTGTCTCTCTCTCTGCCCCTACCCGGCTCGTGCACTGTCTTTGTCTCTGTCAGCTGTTCTTTACATTCAGTTCCCCCCCACCTTCCTGCCTGTGTAACAAATGGAAGCTTTCTCTGCATGGTTGACAGAAGATCTGAAGCAGAAACCTACAGTCTTAATTATACTGCTGTATTATTGCTTCAAGGTCCCAAGTTCCGTGATCAAATCAAGGTGAGGAAAAGTCTAAAATTTAGGAGTACTCCTAACCCTTGTAATCACACTTGGCACTTGTCAACCAGCCCCCCACCATGCCACCTACTACTCCCTTCAGTACTATGGTTCAGTGATGAATAAAATCCATATTCTACACTGAACTGACACACACTGTCTCTTAAACCATAATTATGCTGATTTAAATATTTACATGGTCATCACAGATTGTTTTATGCCTTCTATGTAACTATGTACATTAATTCTCAAAGGGTTTAAAGTAATTCTTGGAAATGACCTGGGATAAATTAACCCCTTAACTTGTTAAGAAGTAAGCTAAACTGTAGTGTCTATAAATAATTTAAAACAAGAGTTAAACACCAATCTACTTTGTATTCAAAATTGAACCAGGGCACCTGCCTGGCTTAGTTGGTAGACCATCTGACTCTTGATCTCAGGGTTGTCAGTTCAAGTCCCACGTTTGGTGTAGAAATTACTTAAAACAAACAAACTAAACCATAAACTTCAAGTGTAAAAAACCTTAATAGATTTACTCTTCACCCTTAAAATTTAACTTACCTGCCTCAGACTCTATGTTTAAATTAGTTGTTACAAAATTAGATGGGAAGAGTCCTGTTCCTCTGTGATTTTCTCCTTTCCACCAATTGGCATCACTGAAAATACAGTACAAAAATGTCATTTGTTCCTCTACATTTTAGTACATTAATGGCAAGAAGAATTAAAAGAAAAATTATATTCAGCTTACTTTGAAAATACCTCATATCCAACTATATTTAAACAGTTCTTATACTTAATAAAAGATACAAAAAAGCACAAATAAAGCAAACATCCATATTCCTATATTAAAATTTAGAACCATTAGCAAGTGATCATATCGGAATCTGGGCTTTAAAAAAATAATAAAAATTATAGGTAACACTGAATCCTCTTCATCAACAACCTCAAGTCCCAATCCCACATCTAACCTGCCAAACCACTACCATAAAGCTGGTATGTGGCCTTCCTGCAAGTGTATATTTTATTTGTTTACAGATACTTATAGCAAAGTCTATAGATATATTAACCATTATAGATTTCTACAATTCACTTTATTATTTTCATATCTTATTTATCCCTTTTAAAGACTCATTATACAAACACAGTATATTTGATTTACTGATCTCCATAATGATGGACACTTAAATATTTCCAGCCTTTCACCATTATAAAGATTGGAGTGATGATCATTCTAGATTCTAGTGCACACAAGCAACAATTCTTGAGGCTTATTCACACACATGGACTTGCTGGGCCAAAGGATATAAACATTTTCCATTTTACCAAATATTTCCAAATATTCTCAAAAGTGGTTGTAGCCATGCACCATCCTCCTTCCCTGAGCAACATGTGAGAATGTCTTTTTCCCTCACCTGTGTTAACTGTCCAAGCAACACTTGCTATCAGACAGGAGAGAAACCCTATCTCATGGCTGTGCTCATTTGCACTTCCTGAGCATGTGCATGTGTTGCTGGCCATTCAGACTGCCTCTTCTGTAAACTGCTCATTCATGTTTTCTGTCCATTTTCCTTTTCCCACTGGGCCATTTATTTGTTTTTATGGATCTATAGGGGTTCTTTATATATTCTGGATAGCAACTGTTTGTCTGAATTATGTAAATGCCTTCTCTCTACTTGTCTTTTAACATACATTTATGGTTTCTTTTATCGCATGGTGTATTTTGTTTCATGTAATCAAATTTAGCAATCTCTTACGGTTTATAGTTTTCTTAAATCTTTCACTGTCCTTGAGCTTCTAAATCTGTTTTCCTATATATTTAATAGTTTTAGGTTTTCTTTTTTATCTCTCCCCTGTGTGTAAATCTTTAATCATTTGGAATGAAACTGTATGTACTATGTGAAGCTGAATCAAAGTTTTATTTGTACTGTATAAAGAGCTATTAATCCCAGCAAAAATTTATTGAATAGCACATCATTTTTTCTACTGATTTATAATATTCTATCTTAAGCAGGCTGCTATCTGTTCGTGAGCAGATGGATCTGGATTCCATTCTGTTGAACAGTCTATATATTTATTTACTACAGCTTGTTAATATGCCTTGATACTTGGCAGGGAAAGTACTCTGTCTTGCATACTTTCATATTTCCATATTAATGTTAAAATTAAAATGTTTTCAAGTTCTCTGGGGGAAAAAAAAAAAGTCCTGTTGGGATTTTAATTAAAAATGCACTGGGGTGCCTGGGTGGCTTAGCCAGTTAAGCACCAACTTCAGCTCAGGTCATATCTCATGGTTTGTGAGTTTGAGCCCCGTGTTGGGCTCTGTGCTGACAGCTCTGAGCCTGGAGCCTGCTTCAGATTCTGTGTCTCCCTCTCTCTGCCCCTCCCCCATTACCATTCTGTCTGTCTCTCTCTCAAAAATAAAATAAACATTAAAAAACTTAAGGGGCAACTGAGTGGCCCAGGTGGTTGAGCATCCAACTTCGGCTCAGTTCATGGGTTTGAGCCCCATGTCGGGCTCTGTGCTGACAGCTCAGAGGTTGGAGCCTGCTTTGGATTCTGTGTCTCCCTCTCTTTCTCCGCCCCTTCTCTGTTCATGCTCTGTCTCTCAAAAATAAATAAATATTAAAAAACATTTTTTTAAGTTAAAAAAATAGTAATTAGAAATGCACTGAATTTATGCATTAATATGGGAAAAATGACATCTTTAGAACATTAAAGTTTTATTCACCATGAACATGGTATCTCTCTCCATTTATATTTATATAAACGGGTGCCAGAGTGGCTCAGTCGGTTAAGCGTCCGACTTCGGCTCAGGTCATAATCTCACAGGCTGTGAGTTTGAGCCCCGCCCCGTGTCAGTCTCAGAGCCTGGAGCCTGCTTCAGATTCTGTTTCCTTCACTCTCTCCGCCCTTCCTCCACTCATGCGCTCTCTCTCAAAAATAAAAAATAAAATAAAAACATTATATTTATATAAACATATTATATGTATACATTTCTTTATATCTTTCAAAGAATTTTATAACTTTCTCCATAAAGTCCTTATATATCTTTATTAGGTTTATTTATCCCTAGATCATCTATATTTTTTATTAGTACTGAGAATGGCAATTTTTTTCTATTTTCTAAAAGCTGTGATTAAAGCACCCACTGATTTCTGTATGTTGAGCTTGTATCCGACAACCATGAACTCTTACCAATTTTAATGGTTTGTCCATCGATTCTCTTGGATTTTCTATATGGACAATCATAGAATCCAGAAAGGATAATTTTGTCCACTCCTTTCCAAAAATTTGACTTATTGAGCAGACATTCTTAAAAATGAAATTTCAGGATGAATTAACTTCTACGATTCTGAAACATAATTTGACTTAAAAAGCACCACAAAGTGAACTCCTGGGTGGCTCAAACAGTTGGGCATCCAACTCTTGATCTTGGCTCAGGTTATGATCTCGCGGTCCATGGGTTCGAGTCCTACGTCGGGCTCCACACTGACAGGAGCCTGCTTGAGATTCTCTGTTTCCCCCTTTCTGCCCCTCCCCTGCTTGTGCTCTCTCTCTCTCAAAATAAATAAATAAACTTAAAAAAAAAAAGTACCATGAAGATGCAAGCTATGTATCATCCAAATGTTTAAAACCAGAAAATAATTGATGTATTGACAATTGTAATATATCATGTCTGCTGATGTCTATTTAGAATGAGAAATTCTCTCTTACACACATGCTTTTTTAAATTAAACCTTCCATTTTAAAAAGGACAGCTGAACTCAGAGCAATTTTTATATAAAACCAGAAACTTCAAACCTATGAAATGGACACACAGATTTGAACTTATCAACAATTTTATGTGTAGCCTTTCCCAGGCTTGATGAAACATAAAAGCAGACAAAACAACCAAATGCCATGTCAAAGCATGATGACTCCTTCCTAGCCCTAACCCAGCTCTACATTCTCTCCACTGACAATGAGTTGATTCTTTGGAATGTTAATGATACAAAATACTGTTCAATTTTTAAATTTCTAAATTAAGGTAATTCAGCACAGTAATTTTACACAAACTGATCATTAAACACAGCATTTATATTTAGCTTTTTATATTAAGTAAAAATAAATCACAGCTGAGTGAAAAATGATAAACACAGAAACTTCACTGTCAATGAACTGATCATTCAGCTAACACTTAGAAAAGACTACCAAAGAGAGGACAAGTGACATTAGACTAAGCAATGAAGTTACAAAGCTAATGGAGATAGGGTTTCTGCCCTCAAGAACGAAAATCTAGTGCAGTATTTTTCAACCCTCTCATACCAGTTAAGAACATGTTACCTTGCTTTACCTTGTAGGATTTGTTTTCTCCTTCTCCCTTCCTCTCAAAATCAACTCATGTAGCAGGACAGACATGTAGAGCAGTGACTGCAGTATAGTATGAAAAATGCCACTATGTTCAGGGATGTATAGCAGCAAAGAGAAACTATTTCTAACTACCGGAAACTAACAGCAGAGAAGATTTAAAGGCTTCTAAGAAGATATAAAATCTACATGGGTTTTGAAGATTAAGCAGGCAGTGCCAGGAAGAAAATGAAATTAGGGTTATGGAAATAAAAATGACATTCTCTATTACCATTATGAATAAGCAAGAAAATAAAAATACAAAGAAACAGAAAACTGCACACTAACAAAAAACAAAGTTATCCTGGCTCATTTTAGGTCTCAAAAAATGAAAACCTGAGCCTCTCCTTTAAGCTATTGACTTCCCAACTAAGACAACTTATTTACTGTCTTTTGTAATGACAATGGCTGAAAATAACTGATGCTCTACTTATGGATATGATAATCATGTGAAAAAAACACAAACATACAAGTAGTGAATCTGGAAATCTTAGTGATCTTGTGGGGATCATTTCCTTAATATACGCATTTTTTAATTTAGGGGACCAATCCTTCTAAAGCCTGGACTCCCTTGCAAATCTTCCTTGCAAGTAAACTTCCTTTTCTTTTCTAAATGTGTCTGCCTCTTTCGACAGGAGTTTCCAGGAATAAAGAATCAAGTGTGCAATGCTGCACAGGATCTAATCACAATATGGCATTTTTGGAAATGCAAGAATTCTACTTGATTATTTGAAATAATACGTAAAGAGTCAGCAAGGAGTGGTGAGATAAAGCTAAAAATGTAGAAAGTGAAAAGCTTTTTTAGTATACTCTGTTAATAAGAAATGTGTGCCTTTTCTATTAGTTCAGTGTTTCTTAAGCTGAAATCCAAGAATGATGTAGCTTCAAGCAACTTCAAGTTCTGTATGTGAAAATTTTAATTTTGTGCTTTCATTTCCACAGCAATATGAAAACAATGAAGATGGGCATATTCTGAATCATTTAGATGAACTTCTTTCAACTGAAGACTGCCATTTAACTTTTTTTAATTTTTTGCCATTTAACTTTAATACCCAAGTTTGCATTTGAGCTTAAAAACCTTTGCAAAGATAATCCATCATCCAGAATGATAACATGTAACCTATAGGTGTTAATGAGGAGGTCTATGGCAATTTTAAGATTGGGGTAGCCAATCAAATGACTGTAATCAATCTACATATTCCACCATATTCATGTTGAGTCTCTTAGAAGTTACTAAGAAAAAAGTTCTTTTTTATAGTGTTAAGTCTCCACTGAAAATAGTTTTATATGAGTCTAAGTTGTTAAATGTATTTGTGCCTAATTAAACATGTGTGAAAAGACACATGCAGCACAGCAACATAACCCTTTACTCATGGCAAGCCTGTAGACTATAATAGGAGTATAATGCCACGTGAACACCAAATGATGTCAAGGGATACAGTATGCATGAAGGATTCATGACAATTACAAAAGAAAAAGTCAGAGAATTGAGTTATTATAGCACAGGATAGTAGAAGCCTACTGAAGATAAGTGATAAAGTATCTGTGCCATTAATCAGTACCCTGTAAGTAGCAATTTATTTTCGAATATTTTCTCACTAGATCAAATACTCAAAATTTGAATCTTAGAGCAAAAACTACTCATTTTATAGTTTTCTTTCCACTTATTTTATAAATGTCTTTAATTTTCTAGTTGCATAACAGTATTTAAAGTATAAACTTAAGTTCCTTTGTAAATATTCTAACTAAAATTACACTAAGAAGCCTGACATTTCAGACTGTCAGTGTTCAGAGCCCACACTACTTAGTCGTCGTCTTTTTTTTAAATGTTTATTTACATATTTCTTTAGAGAGGGAGACAGAGAATGAGCAGGGAAGGAGCAGAGAGAGAGGGAGACACAGAATCCAAAACAGGCTCCAGGCTCTGAGCTGTCAGCACAGATCCCGACGCAGGGCTCAAACTCACAAACTGTGAGGTCATGACTTGAGACAAAGTTGGACGCTTAACCGACTGAGCCACCCACATGGCCCGTTTATTTATTTTTGAGAGAAAAAGAGACAGAGCATGAGCAGGGGAGGGGCGGAGAGACAGGGAGACACAGAACCTGAAGCAGGCTCCAAGTTCTGAGCTGTCAGCACAGAGCCTGATGCAGGGCTCGAACCCACGAACTGCGAAATCATGACCTGAGCCAAAGTCTGATGGTCAACCGACTGAGCCACCCAGGAGCACCAATATTTATTTACTCTCCTTCAGGAGTCATGTGTTCCATCCTCAATGACTTAAAAAAAAAAAAAAAATTCTTAAAAAAAAAAGATTATTTTCTTGATCACCTAAGAGACCTTCCTTTTCCTACTCTCAATTTCTTGCAAAATTTTTCCTATCCCATCAAAACCAAAGTTCACCTGAAATGAACTCTCAGCTTAAGCCTTCTTTCCCAGATGCTTGCATCCAGTACAAATCTGGTCTCTTCTGGACCCCAACATTGCCTCTTTTATGGCATTCACAGTCTGCATTCCATACTAATACCTGTATAGAAATTTCAACTCCCTTACTTTAGATTTTATAAGACAGAACCGCATCCTCATTCATTTTTTATATAAACAGAGCCTATTACATAATACTTTTTCAATAACTATTTACTGCAGCAAAGTAACACTATTTTGTGTATATACTCATTTAAAAATGCACCAGACTAA